GACATGGAGAGAGAGATACGGAGAGAGATACAGAGAGATATGGAGAGAAAGAGGGATACAGAGAGAGAGATGTAGAGAGAGAGATACAGAGAGAGAGATACAGAGAGAGAGAGAGATGGAGAGAAAGAGAGATACAGAGAGAGAGAGAGAGAGAGAGATGGAGAGAGAGATAGAGAGAGGAGAAGAGAGAGAGAGAGAGAGAGAGAGAGATACAGAGAGAGAGAGAGAGAGATATGGAGAGAGATACGGAGAGAAGAACGGAGGAAGTGAGAGATAAGAGAGAGAGAGAGATACGGAGAAAGAGAGATGCGGAAAGAGAGAGAATACGGAGAGAGATAATGGAGAGAGAGATATACGAGAGAGAGATAGAGAGAGAGAGATACGGAGAGAGAGAAAGGAGAGACGGAGAGAGAGATACGGAGAGAGAGATACAGAGAGAGATATGGAGAGAAAGAGAAAACAGAGAGAGAATGGAGAGAAAGAGAGATACAGAGAGAGAGAGAGAAAAAAAGATGAAAAAAAAAGGAGAGAGAGAAGGACAGAGAGAGAATGGGAGAGAGAGATACGGAGAGAATACAGAGAAAAAGATACGGGGAGAGATAAGAGAGAGAGAGATATGGAGAGAGAGATACGGAGAGAGAGATTACAAGGAGAGAGAGACAGAGAGAGAGAGATATGGAGAGAGAGATACGGAGAGATATGGAGAGAGAGATACAGAGAAGAGAGATACGGAGAGAGAGATACGAGAGAGAGAAAGGAGAGAGAGATAGAAGAGAGAGAGATACGGAGAGAGATACGGAGAGAGAGCGGAGAGATAGGAGAGAGAGAAGAGCGGCGGAGAGGGAAGAGAACGGAGAAGAGAAAGAGGAAACGGAGAGAGAGAGAGATAAGAGAGAGATAAAGAGAGAGAGATACGGAGAGAGAGATAGGAAAAGAGAAAAAGAGATACAGAAGAGAAAGAGAGATATGGAGAGAGATAAAGAGAGAGAAGAGAGATAAGGAGAGAGAAGAAGAAGATAGAAGAAGAGAGAGAGAAAAAAGAGGATATGGAGAGAGAGATATGGAGAGAAGATACAGAGAGAGAGATAGAGAGAGAGATGGAGAGATAGATACAGAGAGAGAGAGATACAGAGAGAGAGATATGGAGAGAGAGATATGGAGAGATAGATAAAAGAGAGAAGAACAGAGAGAGATATGGAGAAGAGAGAGATACAGAAGAGAGAGATAGAGAGAGAGATACGGAAAAAGAGAGAGATAAGAAGGAGAGAGAGAACAAAGGAAGAGATACGGAGAGAGAGATACAGAGAGAGAGATAAGAGAGAGATACGGAGAAAAAAGATACGGAGAAAGAGATATGAGAGAGAGATATGGAGAGAAAGAGAGATACAGAGCGAGAGAAAATACTGAGAGAGAGAGAGAGAGATGGAGAGAGAGAAAGAACGAGAGAGTGCAAGAAAAAAGTGCTACGGAGAGAGAGAAAAAGAGAGAAAGAGAGAGAAATATATAGGAGAGCGAGAAAGAGATATGGAAAAGAGAGAGAGAGATGAGGAGAGAAAGAAAGAGAGAGAGAAATACAGAGGGAGAAAGTTGGGGACAAAGATGAAGACAGAGAGATACAGATACTTTATAGGAGAGATAAAAGAGAGACAGAGGGGAAGGGAAAGAGCTGGAGATATGAAGAGACTGACCTGGAGAAAAGGATCCAGAAGAGAGCGAAAGAGAAAAGCAGTGAGACAGAGAGGAAAGGAAGAGACAGACAGAGGTGGGTTGGAGAGGACTGATCTCTGAGGTTTGTCTATAGCCAGAGAGCTGTACACTGCATGCAGGGGGCTGAATGTCCTGTAATACCTGCCCTGACCCACAGGAGGCGACCTTGGGAACATTTCAGGCATTGAGGTTTCAGACACTTTTCTGTGAAAACTGTCAACTGGTCTCTTGTTTGGAGAAACAAACCTTGTAGGGAGTCAGGGCTGGAGTGTCAGCGGGACGCGTTAATTGTAGATTTTGTAGCAGCTCACATTATGAACGCTGAATTCCTGGGATAATACCCCCCCACCCCCACCCCCTGGAGGGCGGACTGCACTGATAAATAAAAACACAGACTGTCCTACATATGTATCTCTCCTATAGAGGAGCCTCGTCCGCTTCCTCCTCCTCCGCTTCCTCCTTCCTCCTCCACTCCTCCTCCTCCACTTCCTCTCTCCGCTTCCTCCTCCTCCTCCTCCCTTCCTCCCCGCTTCCTCCTCCTCCTCTGCTTCCTCCTCCGTTTCCTCCTCCACTAGGTCCTCTGATCATTGAAGTCTGTGTCTGCAGCTGACCGCACCTTGCGGCGGACCCCCGCTCACCTTTAGCAGTCGCACGCTGCCCTGTCCTCACTTACACCATCACACTGGTGGCCTTGTCACTGCCAGCCTCTCCTGAAATATAACACTGTCCGAGGTGTTTGCATCCGCTATATTCTTCCCCAGGTTCCTCTTGCACCATGTCTCCAGCCTTCTATCCCATCTGCAGCATGTTCCCAGTCTTTAACAGTCTCCAGCAACATGTCTCCAGGTTTTTATTTCATCTGTGGCATGTCCCCAGTCTCTAGTAGTTTCTTGCAGCATGTCTCCAGCCTTCTACCCCACCTGTAGCATGTCCCCAGTCTCCAAAATTCTCTCGAAGCATGTTTTCAGCCTTCTACCACACCTGTACCATGTCCCCAGTCTCCAACAGTCTCTTGCAACATGATTTCAGCTTTTTAACCACACCTGTAGCATCTCCCAGTCTCTTGCACCATATCTCCAGCGTTCTACCCCACCTGTAGCATGTTCCCAGTCTCTAACAGTCTCCTGCAACACGTCTCCAGCCTTCTTTCTCACCTGTATTATGTCCCCAGTCTCTAGCAGTTTCTTGCGGCATGTCTCCAGCGTTCTACCCCACCTGTACCATGTCCCCAATCTCTAACAGTCTCCTACAACATGTCTCCATCCTTCTACCTCGCCTGTATTATGTCCCCAGTCTCTAGCAGTTTCTTGCATGCATGTCTCCAGCCTTCTACCACACCTGTACCATGTCCCCAATCTCTAACAGTCTCCTACAACATGTCTCCAGCCTTCTATCTCAGTTGTATTATGTCCACAGTCTCTACCAGTCTCCTACAACATGTCTCCATCCTTCTACCTCACCTGTACCATGTCCCTGGTCTCTGTCGGTCTGGTGCAGCCTCTTTGCTCCTAAGCTGACCACTACCAGTTAAAGCGGAAAACTATAAAATATCTAAATCCTTCTGACCAGAAGGTTACAAAATACTGGCAGCTCTAAGGGGACCCCATTTAAAATACGGGCAGTTCTAAGGGGACCCCATTCAAAATACGGGCAGTTCTAAGGGGACCCCATTCTAAATACGGGCAGCTCTAAGGGGACCCCATTCAAAATACGGGCAGCTCTAAGGGGACCGCATTCTAAATACGGGCAGCTCTAAGGGGACCCCATTCAAAATACGGGCAGCTCTAAGGGGACCCCATTCAAAATATGGGCAGTTCTAAGGGGACCCCATTCAAAATACGGGCAGCTCTAAGGGGACCCCATTCTAAATACGGGCAGCTCTAAGGGGACCCCATTCAAAAATACGGGCAGCTCTAAGGGGACACCATTCAAAATACGGGCAGCTCTAAGGGGACCCCATTCAAAATACGGGCAGCTCTAAGGGGTTCCCATTCAAAAATACCCCCATTCAAAATACGGCAGCTCTAAGGGGACCCATTCTAAAATACGGGCAGCTCTAAGGGGACCCCATTCAAAATACGGGCAGCTCTAAGGGGTTCCCATTCAAAATACGGGCAGCTCTAAGGGGACCCCATTCAAAATACGGGCAGCTCTAAGGGGACCCCATTCAAAATACGGGCAGCTCTAAGGGGACCCCATTCTAAATACGGGCAGCTCTAAGGGGACCCCATTCAAAATACGGGCAGCTCTAAGGGGACCCCATTCTAAATACGGGCAGCTCTAAGGGGACCCCATTCAAAATACGGGCAGCTCTAAGCGGACCCCATTAAAAATACAGGCAGCTCTAAGGGGACCCCATTCAAAATACGGGCAGCTCTAAGGGGACCCCATTCAAAATACGGGCAGCTCTAAGGGGACCCCATTCAAAATACGGGCAGCTCTAAGGGGACCCCATTCAAAATACGGGCAGCTCTAAGGGGACCCCATTCAAAATACGGCAGCTCTAAGGGGACCCCATTCAAAATACGGGCAGCTCTAAGGGGACCCCATTCAAAATACGGGCAGCTCTAAGGGGCACCTAAGGGGACCCCATTCAAAAAGCTCTAAGGGGACCCCACAAATACGGGCAGCTCTAAGGGGACCCCATTCAAAATACAGGGCTCTAAGGGGACCCCATTCAAAATACGGGCAGCTCTAAGGGGACCCCATTAAAAATACGGGCAGCTCTAAGAAGACCCCATTTGCTGCAGCAATCAGAAGATGTCTGAGCAGAAATGACATATCGGAAGTCTTCTACGTCGATATTAGGCACCGTCGCACGTCCTGCCAGTGTTGCCCCCTGCGTGTCAGTAAGTGTACAGCTCTCCGACCGAGGGTGACAACAAACCCAGAATGAGAAGCGATATGAGCAGCGTCTCCGCTCTCCGGATAATCAGGAAAATAAATGTGGGAATTCTTTCAGTCGATTCAGAAATCACATTAATTCTCATTAAACACAAACCATCACGACAGAAGACAAAGCATATGGCATCCCATACACCAGAGACCGGCGCGCAGCTGCTGCACAGAGCGCGTACAACTCCACAAAGCTTCCTCCGCGCACTGGCAGCCACGACGCAGCCTCGCACTCACACCGCAACGACACTCAGCGGGAAGCACACTGCTCAGCGCCGGATAGAAGCCTTCCGTCTCTTGGTGCGCCGCGGCCTGGTAAAGATGGTTCGTTGAGGTGGGGGAGGTGGCCCATGAAGGTGAATCACCAGAACCGATGAGGGGGGGGGCGGAGTTCTTACCACGCACGTAGAGGTTCGCTGGGGCCGAGTAGCGCGTCCCGGCGCTGTTGGTGGCGACACATTCGTACTTCCCCTGGTCGGACTCTTCGCTGTTCTCGATTTGGAGACCGCCTGTGGGAGACAACAGACACGGGTGAGAAGGAGGTCAAGGGAAAAAAAAAAAAACAAAAATGCGCTTTTGTGTTACTTCTAATATCGGTGAATATAGAAAATGGCCACCTAATACTGAGACCTGACACCCTCACACACTATGGGGCACATTTACTAAAACTGGAGAGTGCAAAACCTGGTGCAGCAGTGCATGGGAGCCAATCGGCTTCTGAGTTCAGATCGTATGATGAACCTTTGACGATAAAACCTGGAAGCCGATTGGCTGCCATGCAGAGCTGCGCCAGATTTTGCACTTTCCGGTTTTAGTAAATCAGTCTGTACTCACCTCCTCCATCCGACAGTGCGGGAAACGTCTGCGACAACGCTGCAGATGAGCATTTTGTTCTGCTTTATATGCTAAAGAGATGGCATGACCGCACACAGAACCAAGATTTTACATGTAAGCACATGAACCTAGCACAGCACCCCACATTTAAAAAAAGTATTTATTTATTTTTTTGGTCTTGGCTGATGCACTGTGCTGGAAAATGCAGGAAAATGCACAACGCCTCCAGCAGAACGCATCCCTTGGTGGTTTTACCATTAGAAGACACTGCCTAGACTGACACCTACCTAGTTCTGTCATTCTGTCCCTCTACCACTGGAGGGCAGTATTCTCCTACAATCCACATTGGAACTCCTAAATGATCTACTTGGCTGATCTCTCTGTGTAATCCATGAAAATTAAAGGATAATTGCAATTATCTAGTATTTTGGGGATGTTAAACAAGCTAAGTAAGCACTGCACAGGTATGGATATAAGCCGGTGCTGGCAGGATTAGAAATGATGAATTACGGCCTTAGAAACTGCGATGACCTGAGACTTGGTGACCCCAAACAGCGGCTCCGTTATCCTCAGTCTGCCTGTACAATGGGGACACGGGAAGGCGGGGGTCTGTGACTCGCTGTACATGTTTTCTCTATGATTCTGCACATCATGGACCCCACCCTCATCTATTCCAATAGAGAGCCTACACATCATCGACCCCACCCACAGAACATCTATAGACCCCACCCCAATACAGAATCTGCACATCATGGACCCCACCTTCATCTATCCCAATACAGAACCTGCACATCATGGACCCCACCTCATCTATCCCAATACAGAACCTGCACATCATGGACCCCACCCTCATCTATCCCAATACAGAACCTGCACACCATAGACCCCACCTTCATCTATCCCAATACAGAACCTGCACATCATAGACCCCACCCTCATCTATCCCAATACAGAACCTGCACATCATGGACCCCACCCTCATCTATCCCAATACAGAACCTGCACATCATAGACCCCACCACATCATCTATCCCAATACAGAGCCTGCACACCATAGACCCCACCCTCATCTATCCCAATACAGAATCCTGCACATCATGGACCCCACCTTCATCTATCCCAATACAGAACCTGCACATCATAGACCCCACCTTCATCTATCCCAATACAGAACCAGAACTGCACATCATAGACCCCACCTTCATCTATCCCAATACAGAACCTGCACACCATAGACCCCACCTTCATCTATCCCAATACAGAGCCTGCACACCATAGACCCCCACCTTCATCTATCCCAATACAGAACCTGCACATCATAGACCCCACCTTCATCTATCCCAATACAGAGCCTGCACACCATAGACCCCACCTTCATCTATCCCAATACAGAACCTGCACACCATGGACCCCACCTCATCTATCCCAATACAGAAACCTGCACATCATAGACCCCACCTTCATCTATCCCAATACAGAACCTGCACATCATGGACCCCACCCTCATCTATCCCAATACAGATCCTGCACATCATGGACCCCACCTTCATCTATCCCAATACAGAATCTGCACATCATGGACCCCACCTTCATCTATCCCAATACAGAACCTGCACATCATGGACCCCACCCTCATCTATCCCAATACAGAACCTGCACACCATAGACCCCACCTTCATCTATCCCCTATCCCAATACAGAACCTGCACATCATGGACCCCACCTCATCTATCCCAATACAGAACCTGCACACCATAGACCCCACCTTCATCTATCCCAATACAGAATCTGCACATCATGGACCCCACCCTCATCTATCCCAATACAGAGCCTGCACATCATGGACCCCTGCATCTATCTAATGGATCCTGCCCATGGACCCCCCTCATCTATCCCAATACAGAACCTGCACACCATAGACCCCACCTTCATCTATCCCAATACAGAACCTGCACACCATAGACCCCACCTTCATCTATCCCAATACAGAACCTGCACACCATAGACCCCACCCTCATCTATCACAATACAGAACCTGCACATCATAGACCCCACGACTATATA